CATTTCACGCAACGCTACACCATATGTGTGTACGCTGTACCATTCTAGATTACGCTGAGCTATTTCACGCAACGGTACACCGTTTGTGCGTTTGCTGTGCTACTCAACGTTACCCTGAGCCATTTGACGCAACGCAACACCGTTTGTGTACTGTATTGCAAATGAGTGCCAAGCTATTCGCAATTGAGCTAGTTTCATGTTCCAATTCAACATAGGCAACTAGACCGTTTATCATTTGGCTGAACTATCCATGTTTAGGGTGTTCTGTTTCACGAAGGAAAACTAAACCGTCTATAATTTGGCCATGCCATTCCTTTATTAGCTATTCTATCCTGCAGCTGATCTTTAGACCAGCTTTGTAATTCCTGATCTATTTGACATCCTTGTATTTTTGGTGGTGACGGCCGCCCATAGTGAACGAGCTTTGTCTTTGTGTACCTAAGGCGACGTTTATCTTTTCACCCTTTCCATGAAGACTCCTAGTTCTCAACGTATTTGAAAGGTTACAGAAACTCCCTTCTTTTGTGCGAAGCGCGATACGATCTAAACAAAATATGCCAATCGAGAACTCTGCTGGACGCCTTTCGGAATACAACAATGATTATAACACGCTATTCGTCACCAGTTCCCCTTTAAGACTCTGTCAGCCGTATCTCGCATTCGTTTTAACATTTTTTTTCGACTTCTGAAAAATGATCAGTTCAATTTGAAGAAATGGCAAACTTTGTGGTCAGAATGTTATTTTTCTATTTCAATGATGAACTTACGCGAACGGAGAGTGTTGGAAATCTCTCTGAAACAACCCTAAAGAGTTTGTTGGATATCTTAAGTAGCTATGGCAGAGCACGACTGATAGGGAAAGAGAGGTCGAATTCAGGTTGGAGAGGGGTTTTTTTTAAAGGAAGTCGCTAACATTTACGAAAACGTGACGAGAAAAGGATGTATGATCAAAAGCGAACATTGTCGCCTCAAAGGTTACCTCAATAAACTTTACGGAAGGGTACGTCAGTATAATCTCCTTCGCAATGTAAAAAATAAGCTAGTTAACTGTTATCAAATCATCGCCTGAAATACCCTTGTGTTTCTTACGTTTCTATTTGTGTTAAAATTCGCTGTAGAAATTAGCTTCGACAGCATGGCGCGGCTAACAGGGAAGGGAAACTGACCATGACATGGTTCATTGTGACTTTTTTCTTCCTACTACTCCTGATCCATTCTTGTCACATGTCATGAGATCAGAGAGGTAAAAATAAACAAAAGCTTCAATTTCTATACATAAAAGGAAAAATTATCAGTCAGCTCACGTTCTACCTCTCCTTGTTGAACAGCTGTGCACAACTTACATAATGCCATTTTCCAATGCAAACGCCTTATTCCATTCTGAGTGTTCTCACCGGAAAACTTCAAGGAACCCGTTTGAGGAAGTCCATTGAGATAAGGTAGGCTTTGAAGATTTTTTTTATGTGAAAAATTGCTCTAAACTTTGCATCGATCATTAAGGGCAAATGATAAGGAACGTCTTCTTTTTCCATTAGTTCTCTGGATGTAAGATAAAACATTTTGGATAAGAAATTTTGTATTGCAGCTATTCCGTCTATAATGCTAGGACCAGTAGCCCTCATTTATAACCCTTTAGATGTAAAAAGGGCGTAGGTTTCTGAAGAAACTGTAGTGCTGCGTCGGTGGGAGAGTATAGTAGGGTAAATTTTATTTTCAACTGAGTTGAAACGTAAATTGACCACCGTAGACCCGTTTGAGGAAGTCCATTGAGATAAAGTAGGCTTTGAAGATTTTTTGTTATGCGAAAAATTGCTCTAAACTATGCATCGATCATTTAAGGAGCGCCTTCTTTTTTCATTGTTTCTATGGATGTACCCTAAATTCAGGGAAGACTGACAGAAAGGTACATCTAAAATTTCGGCTAAGAAATTCAATATTGCGGCTATTCCGTCTATAATGCCAGGACCAGAAGCCCTCATTTATAACCCTTTCGATGTAAAAAGGGCGTAGGTTTCTAAAGAAACTGTGGTGCTGCGTCGGTGGGAGAGTATAACGAGGTAAATTTTATTTTCAATTGAGTTGAAAACGTAAATTGGCCACCGTTAAGAGTTTTGCCATTCGCTCTGACGAAGGGCTAACGCTCGAAACGTCAGCTTTGAGACTCCTAACGGTGGCCAATTTACGTTGTCAACTCAGCTGATAATACCATTTACCTCTCGATGTAAGTTTGCCATTTATTCGAAAAATATTTTTCGAATAAATGTTTTCAAACTCCCGCATGCACCGATAGAGACGTGTTACGAGAATTCAGTGGTAACAAGATTTAGCCGGAGAGCATGCATGGACTGTTTATTGATCTTTCCACATATTTATATTCCATTCCCGACTCTTTAAGGAAAATAAAATGGTTTGGATGGTTTAAAACCTTACTCAAGCGACAAGAAGGAGAAGGAAGTCTTCGATCTTTTGCCGGCTTTAAAGAAATAATATTTGCAGATCAACGTCTTCCGTGACAGGAATAAATTACAGATGAAAAAAAAAATATTCAGGTAGAGAATGTCAAGTTTTGACTCTTGCTTTTATGATAACCGTTTTGCGCCAAATTCGTTTTTTTATCAAGCCGAAATACACTGGATAAAATGATATTGCAATTCTGATTCAACGATAGAGGCACTCTGACCCTTTTTCCTAATTTACAGTCCGTTGGGTCGTGTAAATGTCGGTCAGGTCGCGTAAATAAAATAGAAGGCCAAAAATGAATGAAGATATATGACGATACAAGAGAATATCAACTGTTGATATTCTCATGGAAGATATAAATAAAGAAATAATAAGTAAATAAATAGATAAACGAATAGAAAGAATTTGTTATACCACAAACGCTTGGAGCGAGTAACAGACTTTTCTTTTTTCCCTTTCTATTTTGTTAACTTTTTTAGAAATTTATTCGGTTTTCCTTCTCTATTTCTCTGGTTCTTTATTAAATTTTTTTATTCGTTATTTTGCCAGACAAGATGTCAGACCTGAAGCTACCAAATCGAAGCTTAGCTGCTGTTATATCTGAGGCAGGCATCTGCCTTACACTGAACATCACAAGCATCATTGGAAACGGTCTGGTTTGTATAGCAGCATACAGAAACCCAAACCTGCGATCAACCACCAACCTGTATATCATTGCTTTAGCAGTCAGCGATTTGTTGTGCGCAACAATTGAAATGCCTTTAGCTTCTTCAACGCTTGTTATTGGTAGATGGGACTTTGGCGACGTCGTATGCGAAATTCAAGGCTTTGTTGATGTTTTCACCACATACGCGACCCCAGCAACCCTTGGTTTGACAGCAGTCAACCGCTATGTGAAAATTGTGAAGACGGCGAAACATAAGAAATATTTTTCGCCCCTCAGATCCAAAATTTGGTTGTTTTGCGTTTGGACTTTTCTTGTGCTTTACCTTTTGACTGGTCGAGCGACAAATTTTCTCAGTTTTGAATTCGTACCTGGCTTTGACGTGTGCGCCCTTGGTTTTGCAAATCAGAGGGTTCGAGTCGTTCATTTTTGCATAACATTCGCATTGTTTTTCATAGTACCGCTATGCAGTGGTATATTCAGCTACTACAAGGTATTATCCACTACCCATCAACATCAATTGAACACAG